TGGAGCCAGTGAGCTATGGACTGAAACCCTTGTAAAACTGAGCCAGATAAACTTCTTTCCCATTTAAATCATGTGTCAGGTATTTGTTCCCAGTGACAGAACACAGAAATTGGTACCAAGGAAATGGGGCTGTTACTGTGACTGTACCTGACAATATGGTTCAGAAGCCTTTGGAACTGATTTCTGGGAGAAGTTGAAAGGTTTGGAGATGTAGGCCAGAGAAATCCTAGAATGTTGGAAGCAGAGCTTAATGGGCAATTCTGGATAGAGGTTGGACCAGAATGCTGATAGGAAGGTGGACAGGCTCAGGAGGTTTCAGATGGTTTCATTCTACTATGAAATGGACTAGTGTCCATTCATGATATATCTGGCAAATAAACTGTCTACATGTTGTCTGTGTCCTGAGACTTTGCAGGAGGCTAAATTTAAAGGCGGTGTACTAATTAATCTGGTAGGAGAAATTCCAAGATAGTCCAATGTTCAGTGGCGTGGGTACTGCTGGCTGCTCACAGTATAGATTTACAATGTGAATATAGAGTAAAAAGCAGAGCCAAAAGGTGGGAAATTTTTGTAGCTTGACTAGGAAGAAACTACCTATAAAGTTGGGACCAAAAAGAGTTTGCTGAAAAAATTAGTACCATTAAAAAGAAGCCAAGTGGCCAGGCCTGGTGGCACACACTTATAATCCTAGTACTCTGGAAAGCTGAGGCAGGAGTACTCCAAGTTCAGTCCCCGCCAGGGCAACTTAGACAACCTTGTTTCAAAAACAAAGTATAAAAACAGGGTCAGATATGTAGCCTGGTGTAAAGGGCCTAGGTTTAACCCATCAGGAATGGGTGGGGGGGATAGAAAAAAGAGCCAAGTAATTTGTACCAAGAAAACAGGATGGCTTGAAAACCCCAGCCTCACTCAGGGCCATTTAGGTAGGTGTATGCCCAAGTTCAGCCATCCAGTCACTTGGTGGCCACGATAGCCATGGTTCAAGGTACCTATTTACTGTCTGAGCTGGTGACAGACCTTTTTGTCATCCACGTGGTATCAGTTTATCAGGCATGCAGACTGCAGAATTATAGAGTCTGGCAAGGATGCTTCTACCCAGACTTCAGAGGAACGCCTGGGTGACCAGGCAATGTGGTATAATAGGATCACAGTCCCTCTCAGGAGCCCGAGACAAAGTGTGAAACTGACCGTGTAGTGGAGAACCCAGGAAGTTGTAGATGCCAGGAATATGGAATGTCTGCCAAGGAAAGCTGTAGGCAGTGAGCATAGCCAGTCCAGGACAGAGGCTGTGAGGTATAACCAGCAAAGCTGTAAGGGTTGGGCTACCCAAGCCCTTTAGAACTCGTATCTCAGCACCACGTGCCCTGGATGTTGGACATGGAACTATAGTACTTCATATATGCCCTGTTGGAGGCTTACAGCTAGCCTTGACTCTCACAGGAGACTTTGGACTTGCTCTTTTGAGCTATGCTCAAACTGTTAAAAATCTGGCAACTCCTAGAAATGAACTGAATACATTTTGTATAATGAGATGGCCAGGAATCTTTGAAGGGCATGGGTAGAATGTTATGGTTTAGGTCTAAAATGTTCCTCCAAAGTCTCAAGTGTTCAGGGGTAGGGCTGTGGAAAGTGACTGGATCATGGGGACACTCTACTCATCAGTGGATTACTCCATTGGTGGGTGACAGCTGAATGTATTGTTGAGATGGGGGCTGGCTGGAGAAAATGGGTCATTGGAGGGGTAACGTGCAAGGGTATTCTTATCCTTGGCTCCTTGCTTCTCTCTCTCAGTTTCCTGGTTGCTATGGATTGTGCAGCTTTCTTCTAGGCTGTCCCACCATGCCATTTCTGTCTTGAAACCAGCTGGCCATGGACCATGAACTAAATCTCTTGAATCTGTGTGCCAACTAAACCACTCCTCATTTACACCAGGTGTTTCACATATTTGTTCCCAGTGATAGGAAAGCTCACACATATAGATACCTTTTTCTTTTGGTACCGAGACTCAAACTCTGGATCCTGCACTTGCCAGGCAGGTGCTTATGATTCTAAGCTCTGTCTCCAGCCCCAGATACCTTTTATTTGTCTCCTGCCTAAGTACCCTGTCTAGGACTTCTGTACTATTTGAATAGAAGGGGCAAGTGTCTTACTGCTGATATTAATGTTTTTAACTTTCCACTTGGGACTATGACTTATGATTTATGGCCTTTATTATGCTGAAGTACTTTGCTCCTGTATCTACTTTGTTAAGAGTGTTTATCATGAAAGGAGGTTGATTTTTTTTTTTTTTTTTTTTTTTTTGGTCTTTTTGAGACAGGGTCTTTCCATGCAGTTCAGACTGGCCTTGAGCTCACTTTGTAGCCCAGACTGGTCACGAATGCACAACAATCCTCCTTCCTCAGCCTCCCGAGTGCTGGGATTACAAGCTTGCACCACTACGCCCAGCTAGGAGGTTGAATTTTGTCAAATGCCTCTTATAACCTATTGAGATGATAACAGAGTTTTTGTTCTTTATTCTGTTAATGTGGTGCATCATATTCACTCACTAGTGTATATTGAACCATCTCTTCAAATCAGGGTTAAATGCCACTGATCATGATGAATGATCCTTTTAAGAGGCTGTTAAATTTGGCTTGCTAGTATTTTGTTAGGGATTTTTGATGTGTTTATCAGGACACTGAGCTGCAATTTTGTTTTGCTATAGTGTTCTTGGCTGGCTTTAAAGTATCAGGGTAAGGCCAAAATGAGTCTGGAAGCATTCCTTCTTCCTTAATTTGCTGGAAGACTTTAAGAAGGACTAGTATTAGTTCATTTTATCAGTGAAGCTATCAGGTCCTGGGCTTTTCTTTGATGGAGACTTTTTATTACTAATTCAGTCTCTTTAATCATTAGTGGTCTGTTTAGATTTTTGTTTCTTCATGATGTAGTCTAATCAATTCTCAAGCAAGACTTACAGTCATGATTTCAAATAAACAACACATACTTTCAACACTACGACTGTTCTTTAGTGAAACTTCAGTTTACATTATGAAACATTAAACGAAGATGTTTCTGGCATATTTTTAACAACATGTGAGATTTCAATTTTTGGTAGTGAAGAAACCTGAATTTTATATATTTTATACATATAAATTAACTTTGTAAGATTTGTTACCATGCATTTGTAGAAATGTTCTGAAGCAAACTTTTTGAAATGTAGAAGTAATATAAGGAGATTATACTCTCCTACTAGCCTGTTTTGAAACTGTTTTATTTTTATTTTTTACTTTTTTCTGTTTAAAGTTAAAAAAAATTATTATTATTGACTTTTATTTCTTCCTTTTTGTTTCTGTATATTCCACAGAATTTCAAGAAACTCCCCTGTATAATTTAAGACAACTATACTACATTAAGACAAACATTCTGGCCTATAATTACAAAACTGTGATACAATGATAACAACAGCTAACACTTGAGTGCTTACTATTTAGTAGATACTATTCCAGGTGCTTCATAAATACCAACAAATTTAATCCTCACAACTCTAGAATATCCTCACAACTTAATATTCTGTCCCCACTTAGATGAAGAAACTTTTAACTATAATTTTAATTACTTTAATAGTAGAAAACATTTAAGTCTGAATTGCTTTCTTTATAAATCAATTCACAAAGAATAGAAAAGTTACACAAATATTTTAGATAACACATCTCTAAAAATTCACTGATGGAATACATCATGTATCATGTTGTCAGAAAATGGGGCATCAGAATTTGGAGTAGGAAAATTAAAATTAAAAAAAATTAAAATTAAAAATTAAAATTAAAAGAATTTGGAGTAGGTTCTCAAGTGTGAAATCAGGAATAACTTAACAGATAATGAGTACAGATAAGTACAGGACGTGTTATCCACACAAGTAATTATTCTACAAGCCCCTACATATGAACCTTCTCAGAGCTTATCTCTACTTTAGCCCTGTGTCCTCAGGGTCTGGCATAGTGTTTATACTTGGTAGGTTTTTAGTACATATTCACTGAATGAATGCAGGTAGAATAATACTGGATAACTGTGCAATTATGGAACTAGTCTATTTTGAATACATGTGACCTAAGTACATTCAAAAAGTATATCAGCACATACATCCAAAGCAGTAACTCAAACAACTCTATTATATATAATCAGGCTGAGTTTTAAGAAAGAGGATAAATCAACCTGGAGCCTAAGGGGAAAAAAAAAGGGTCAAGAGCTGAAAATTTATCTGATGGAGTTTTATTATCTACAGTATGAACTGATTAGAAAGTACAATCCTGTAACTGTGATTATATATGTTATGAAAGCAGTCCTAAGATCCTTAACTTCCTATTTGTATAAGAATCTTCCCACTGTGTACTAACTTTCTATTTTGGTTTGTCTATTTCAAAGAACAGGCCGATCAACTAAAGAGACTTCTGTTTACTAGATGGCTGTATTTCTTTTCTCTGCTTCCTTCCTTCCTTCCTTCCTTCTTTCTTCCCTCCCTCCCGCCCTTTCTTCCTCCCTCCCTCCATCCCTCCCTTTTCTTTTAGTGAGATAAGACCTTGCTATGTACTTCAGGGTGGCCTTGACCCCACTATATAACCTAGGCCAGCCTCAAACTCACAGCAATCCTCCTACCTCAGCCTCCTGAGTACTGGGATTACAGGTATGCACCACTACACCCAGCCACAGATAGATGGCTGTGTTTCTTAAAAGAAATAAACTGGTATTCCAGCACTTGTGATACAAACAAGAAATAGTGTATAAATGAATTAAATCTGTTACTGCATTACAAAACTGAATTATATGACATGTAAAGCTAAAGACCAGACCTCAAAAGGAAGAAACAATATACTGCTGGATAAGATCTTATTTAGGGAGACACCCGGCCTTCTGAGATATCTCCAGCTGTGAAAAATAAAGAACTGATATAATATCAAAACATGCAAATGTAATTGCAACTTCATTTATTCATTCACATTTAAATATAGCAAAGTTAGGAATACCTTCAGAAAGTTCACTTGTTCTAGATATCTGTTCCAGTTCCCAGCCAAGATGTAATGACTCATCCATACTTTGTTTCTGTGCCATTTCCAAAGTCATATTTTCTTCCATTAATTCTTCAATCTTTTTTCTATCCATATCTCGTTCCTTTTTTATTTTGTAGGGAGAAGGGAGAGAATAGAAAACTAAGATATGGTACAATTTCAAGACCATTTTATTGCTTCCAATTTATTAGAAAATGAATGAGGATAAATTTTGAGTTCCTTAAAATTTTCACAGCTTGAAGGAAAGAATCAGTTATTATTACTAGTCATTATCAGGTGCCTGACATCCTTTTAAAGTGATCTTGTGGGACAATGTGAAAATGCTTTATCACTGTCAGGATATTAACTATGAATTCTACAAAGAATTCTAACTGTATTTTAAAGTTTAGCCACTAGTTTTCTATATTTTAAAAAACAGTCTTATACAATAGCTTACTGAGGGTTTGAAATGTAGGCAACAAAATTGACAGTACTTATCTATAACAAAAGCAGAAATTTCTACTAATTCATATAGTACAGCTGTATTTATATAAGGTTTCAAGCATCTAACTCATATAGCAATCTCTTCTTTGTTAACGCTTCAAGGACCTTAGTTACTTGTCATTACAGAGAAGTCAGGCAAATCTTAAAGAGTTTTTCCTGAGAGGCAATGTAACTTACCCCACAAAACTTACCATTTCCATATCATGCAGTTTAGCCTTTAGCTGTAAATTCTCTTTTTCTAACTCATGTAATTTATCAGAACGAGCCCGAGTTCCTTCAAGTTGGTCTTCCAACATGGTTTTTGTTTCTAATAAAACTTGATTGTCTTCTTTTAATTCCTATAAGCATTTCGAGTAAGTTTTATCACGAATGTACTAAAATTTCTTCAGTTTTTAAAGATACAAACATAAAAATTATTGTAAACGAAAACATTAAGTCATCTTTATCAACAGTAAGAGTTAATAAATGTAAGAGTAAAGCTATTAAGTAACAGAAGTACATTTTTGGCCTTCATTTCCCCCCAGATTTTAAGGTACTATGCAATAAAATATTCAGTTCTTACAACAGAATGAGAAATACTACTATAATTTCAGAGGAAACCATGACATATATTTAAATCCCCGGTCACAAACATAAGGGCCAAAACAAAGTCACAAACATAAGGTGTCTTCCAAATATTTAAGACATATCTTCATAGAATCAGAGCTTACGTATTGATGGGAATAGACTTAAACATTTCTCTCACACTAAGACTTATAACTTGAAAATGAAAGGTTTCAGATTTTGGCAGTAAAAATCAAGACTTAACCTAAGACTCAAATAAACCAACACTTCCATCAATAAATACTTTATATGAACATATTGAAAAAATACTTTAAGAAAACACTACATATGATATGAAAGTGAGTATTTGTATAACTTTCAGGCTAAAATATCCTATTCTGTTATGTTTTCATTTTTTAATTTGGCATACTGCTTTTATCCTCACACTGAAACTGACCAAAATCTCCTGTTTACAGAAAATAGGAAGTTATCTGAGTAAGGAAAAAAGGATGGAGGGATTGTGAAATTCTTTTTGTCAACTGAACTTTATGCACTGTTAACTGCAAATATCAAGCAGAAAAAGTTATTTTATCTTCATTTGCATATACAAAGCATGTGCTGATCCTGATTTAGCAATCTCAATTAAAAGCCATCAGAAATGTTTTCCTTTCACTTTTGGAAACAAGTTTGACATTAGTAGAGACAAATACTTTATTGTGAATTTATAGAAAAGACTTCAAAAGTCTGCTCTACCTATGATGCTAGTTAAAATTAAGAAGGAAGGGCCCCAAAGAGTTAAACAAAAATTAATAAAAGTTCAAAAATCCCTTTAGAAAAGTCTAAGTAACAATTGTTCTTACAAGTACATTTCAAATGCATTTTGAAAACCACAGTTAAGAACAAATGTCGTCAATGGTTCATTACATAACATACCTCAACTCTTGCCTTATAAAATTCAATATCATGTAGTCTTTCTTTATATCTGCTGACTTCACTTTCAAGTTTATCAACTCTGATTGCCTTCTCTCGAAGTGCATCTAATTCATCTCGGTACATTCTAGCAGAACGAGCATCCGAAAGCAAATTCATGTTCTAAATATAAATAATAATGCTTTTAATATTATTTTCAATTCTTTATTTCTTGGTTATACAACTTAATACATTCACTTAAAAATGAGTTAAATTTCATAGAAAGGGAAATTTTATGGTATATAAATTATACCTCAAGTTGTTTTAAAAATAGGACTATATACCAATAGCTAACATCATACTAAACGGATAAAAACTGAAAGCTTTCATTCTAAAATCAGGATGTCCACTATCACCAGTATTTAATATAGTTCTGGAAATATTAGCCAGAGCAATTAGATAAGAAAAAGAAATAAAAGGAATAAGGATAGGAAAGGAAGAAGTTAAATTATTGTTACTTGTGGATGATATCATACTCTACATAGAAGACCCCCAAAACTCCACCTAAAGACATGTACATTTAATAACCAATTCAGTAGTGTAGCTGAATACAAAGTTATCACTCAAAAATCAATAGCATTTCCATACACAACAAACACAGTGAGAGAGAAATCAGGGAAACCACACCTTTCACAATAGCATCCCCCCCCTAAAAAGAAAGAAAGATTCAGGAATCAACCTAACAAAGGAAGTAAAAGAAGTATATATTGAAAATTACAATACTCTGAAAGGGAGACTGAAGGGAATATCAATAAATGTAAAGATATCTCTTACTCATGGATAGGAAGAACCAACAAAGTGAAAATGACCGTATTTCAAAAATTGTTATACAGATTTAATGCAATCCAAATCCAAATTCCAACAGCATATCTCACAGAATTAGAGAAAACAATCCTAAAATTCATTTGGAACTAGAAGAGACCGAGAATAGCAAAAGCAGTTCTGGGCAATCCCTGACTTAAAATTACACTACAAAGCTTCTGTGATACAATCAACACAGTACTGGAAAAAAAAAAAAAAAACAAACAAAAAAAAAACCAGACCTGAGGATCAGCAGAACAGATCAGAAGATGCAGACACAATTCTAAACACACTCAGCCATCTTATTTTTGACAAAGGGGTCAAATATGTTCATTGGAAGAAAGATACCCTCTTTCATAAATGGTGATGGAAAACTGAATGTGGTGGTGCATACCTGTAATCCCAGCACTCAGGAGGCTGAGGCAGGAGGATTGCAGTAAGCCTGGGCTATACTACAGTGTGAGACCCTGTCTCAAAAATAAATAAATAATAGATAAATAAATGGTGATGGAAAAACTGGCTTTCCATATGCCAAAGTGCGTCTAATTTGTCTCGCAGTAAAACTAGACCCATGTCTAACACCATGTACTAAAGTCAAAATGGATCAAAGACTTAAATATTAAAACATAAACACTAAACAAGAGAAAGTAGTACAAATCTTAAAGATACAGGTGTAGGCAGAGTTCATAAACAAAACCCAGATCACAGGGGAAATACTTCAAAGAATCAGACACTGGGATCTCCTTATTAAAAAGCTTTTGCACAACAAAAATCACCAACAGAGTGAAAAAACAACCTAAAGAGTGGGAAAAAATTTTAACTGGTTGTCCCTCAGGCAAAAGACTTATATCTAGAACATATAAAGAATTTAAAAAATATCAGAGTCCCCAAATTTAAAGACCCAACCCAAAAATGGGAATCTGAAATGAATATATACTTCTCAGATAAAGAAATAGAAATAGCAAATAAATATATGAAAAAATGTTCAACATCATTGGTTATTCAAGAAATGCAAATTAAAACAACACTGAGATTCCTTCCCACCTGGGAAAGAATGGCTTTCATCAAGAAATCAACCAGTAACAAATGCTGGAGGGGCTGTGGGGAAAAAGGAACCCTTCTCCATTGTTGGTGGGAGTGTAGACTAGTGCACTGTGGAAATCAGTGTAGACATTCCTCAAAAAACTAGAATTCAGAGGTGCAGTTCAATCCAGCTCTTCTGGGTATCTTCCAGAAAGAACTAAAAACATTATATACTACCATGATATATGCATACCCATGTTTATAGCAGCACAATTTGTAATAGTTATATCTTGGAAACAATCCAAATGCCCATCAACCAAGGAATGGATAAAAAAGATGTGTTTTTTATATAATGGAGTACTACTCAGCCATAAAGAAAGATAAATGTGAGACTTTTATAGGTAAATGGATGCAACTTGAAACCATACTCATAAGTGAATTAAGTCAGACTCAAACACATAAACATCCTATTGTTTCTCTGGTATGAAAAACTCAGAGAGTAAATAAGGTCCAAAATGTACAACAGATACTGTGAAATGGGAAGAAATTGTTCAAAAGGAAAGACAAACTAGGGAGGGGGCAAAAGGGAAAGGAAGGGAAAAGGAAAAAAATATGAAATAGTTATACTACTAGTTTCTCCTGGTTCACTGAAGAAAAAGGTCTGTGCTAATATCATTTGGAGGACTTTTTATGCTGGTATCTTGCATTCTGAGTAACTACTTTAAGGATGACAATACACAATGTATTAACTATTGTTATTCTATTATTTTGTTATGAAATTTTGGTTTACTTTTCTCCATAAAATAAAAAATAAATAAAAATAGGAATATATAAAACCTTTATTCTTAAACCAAAAATAAAAGGCTTTATGTTTATATACAAATTTTTATATAATGTTCTCTATCAGGAAAGTAAAAATTAAAGATAATTCAAAAATAAGTTAACCTCTACTTAACAATCACTTGCAACTAATTGAAGATAAAATACATAACATTAGTAGCCAAGGAGATAGCTCAGTGGCATAAGCACCTGCCTGGCAAGCACAAGGTCCTGAGTTTGATCCCTGGTACCAAAAAAAAAAAAAAAAAAAAAAGAAGATAACATTACACTAGAGGATAGTAAAAATATAGAAAAAGCAAGCTCCATTACTAAAGTAGATCACTTATTGAATTCATTTTTCAGTGCCATCTGAGACTGTGGAGGGCATGGGTCAGGTGTCATTCCTTAGTAAGAAGAATTTGTATCTCTCAAATTAGCCTGGGCTTTTGTTATGGCTTTAACCTAATATTCCACAAAGCCTCCCGTGGCTGGATCTAGGGTGTGTGATACTGGGACTAAGGGTGTGTGATCACTAAATGGGTTTAGCATAGTTCTGGGTGTGCATAATGGAAGCCCCACCCCTGGATGTGAGTGGCACCATCAACAGGTTTGTATCTTGGAAGGAATATAAAGGAAAAGGCAGGCTTCCTGCTGGTTGCTGCTTCTTCACTGCCTCCTGCCTGCTTTGCCACAAAATGTTTCTCCTCTGCAATGCCCTCTGCCCTACATCCTGCCTTGGAGCCAGCCAACTACGGACTGAAACCTCTACAGTCTAAAGTAAGATTTTCCTCCTCTAATTTTAGGGTGTCCGTTATTTTGTCTCAGCAGCCAGAATGTAACTAAGATAACCTTCAAAAGGTTAAAAGCTTTATTATAATCCTTTAGAACAGAAATTTGCAAAATATGATCCTGGTCCTTTGTGGGTCCCTGAACCTTTTGGGGGAGTTCATGAAGCAGAACTATTTTCATAATAAACACTAAGACATTATTTGTCTTTTTCACTCTTCTCTCATGATGGTGCTGTGGTTTTCCAGAGGTGACACGGCTGCGACCTTTTAAAAATGGAGTACACAAACAGATATGAAAATCTAGGTGTTTTTTATTATGCCAGGTGTTAAACATCTGCAAAACAGATTTCCAAAAATTTAATAGTACCATTTTTTTTTCTAAATTTTGTTTTGTGCTGGAGAACCATTCCTTTACAGCAGAAACACACCAGAAAACCCCTACTACAATGATGTGGAATAGCGCTGCATATCTATGAATAAAAACTATGATATCCAGCCTCATTTCTCTGCAAAGGTCCCAGTTTATGATGGTGCAAATGAAGTATTCTCCACCTTGAAAACCACACGTACAGGAAATAAAGGGAAGAAACTATTTTCTAGATGTACTCCAATCCTTATCATCTATGGGTTAAAGAGCTCATAAGCTAGCCTGAAATGAAAATAACAGTGATTAAAAGAAGCAAATTCTTAAATAATCTTAGTTCAAAATGAAAAAAATCTTTAAGTAAAATTAAAAATTATTTCTAAAGTAGAAAGTTTTGACCTTATTAAATAGAAAAAGACTAAAACCTAAAAAGCATTCTATCACATGTAATTAATTCTCAACACCAAAGAACAGAGACACAGGAAGATACACAGAAACAGCAAAATTTATACTATGTAGGTACTCCAGCTTTCAAGTCCAAAGAAACCAAGCACACAAAAAAAAAGAGACTTGGAACTGCCCCAGTTCCCAGAGGCTCCTTTGAATCACAGCATATTCTGAATAGTAGAAAGCAAAGTTCTAGGACCTTTATTTCTAGTTTTGGCTCTGCCATTTCTGATAACAGGAACACTGAAAAAGTCATCAATTTCTTTATGTAAATAACTGAGGTAACTGAAACCTAAAGTATCAAGGTTGGTACTTTAAATTACAAGGAAAAAATCAATTTCCAATTATTTGGTGGGCCTGTATTATAAGAGTTACAAGTACAAACCTCTTGTTGCAGCCTTTTTAGTTCTATTTCCATTTGCTCAAGTTCTTGTTTACAGTCCAGTAATTGTTCAGTCTTTTCCTCCCTTAAAAAGAACATACTTTTTAAAGAATAAGCCTACTACTTTCAAATACCATAATCATCATCTGCAATAATACAAATAAATTACCCATAATAACCAGTTGAACATAACCCCAACCCAGAGGAGAAAAAAAAAAGATACCAGAAAAGTATACGTGTATGTGATTAGAAAAGTATACGATTAGATGTCATCACACTTCCCGTTGCTATTCCTTAACAGTTAACCCCAATGACTAATATCCTCATGGTTTATGATGTATTTTTTCTCTCACTCTTTATCTTTTCTGTTTCCTGTTCCAGCTATGTAATGCAGTATTTATCGGGTTCTGAGATGCTCCTATTTTCACCATTTACATGGTCCAAAAAAGGAACTGTATATTTAGTACCTGTCATATAGACACTAAAATCTTTATTTCTCTACTGGTTTCTACCTTGCAGTTTTTAAATGTGCTTAGTTTTTTCCATCGTTTTTTTCTTTTAACTACTTTACTTCTCTTTTCCAATCTCCCCTTCAGAGCCAGTCTCTTCAAAGTAAGCCTACACCATCTCTATTTCTCCACTTTCTGTTAATAATAAAAAGCCACTATATAAACAAATATTTGCCCATAGCTCTTCACATATTTTTGGAAACCCTTTGTGTGTGTGTGTGTGTGTGTGTGTGTGTG